TCAGCGTGTTTGTGCGAACGAGCATTCCCGCTTTGGCGTAACTGGAAGGAAGATTCTCCTTCCCGATGACACTGGCCGGCCAGCTCATCGCCCAAAGACATCCAAGCTGCCGCTGCCACATTTGGCGAGCAACCATTGAGAAGTAGTCATGAAGCCAACGCCGAAGGCGGGCCTAGCGAACAGGAACCGGAGTTTCTTCCAATCACTCACTCCCCATCTCTCACCACCACATTCGAAGACACCCAAGAATATTACAGGAAGATGTTCTAACCTTCCCAAGGTTAGTGTGAATATGATCTTCATAGGGTTGGTTTTGAATTTAGGAGGTAGGTTGATAAAGAAAATTAGATGATACTTCAAGGACATTTTTGTCTTTTCACATGCCATTTAACAACTGGTTAAGCACAAGATTATCGCGTTTCGAAAGTTCGGGTATTAGATTGTCGCGTTTTAAAGTTCGGGTACTAAATTGGCACTCGGCCTAAAGTACAGGGTACCTATCGGGAATTTTCCCTAATATAAATAGGTTGATGTTAAACTGTCAAACATAAAATAACAAAAATAAAAATATTATTTTAAAATTTATTAATTTAAAAGTCCACTAAACTTCCACTTAAAACTAATAAATATTAACAAAACTTAGTAAAAATAAAAACACTAATAAAAATTAAACCTAATAATAAGAAATTTAAATAAAATTCCACTAATAAAATTAAAAACATTTCAATTCCACTTAATAAAAAAACTTAATGAACACTAATAAAAAAGAAATTTAAATACAAAAATATTAATTGATAGTTTTAATAATATTATGATTTAAATATGGGTTTGATATATTGCAAATAGAACCTGTGTTCTAATGTTGTATTTTGTTTTGTTTATTCTTTTTTATTTTATTAGATAACTTTGTATTAATATAATTTTAATTAACTAATTAATTAATTATATTGTTAAAATTAATAATTTTTATGAGTTGAGTTGAGACCTTTATTGTGCATAGTGTCCATACTAACTAAGAGACGTATATAAAATAGAAGACTCATTAAAATGATATATAATAATAATAATAATAATAATAATAATAATTTATATATAATTTGAAACCTAATAACTATAATTAATAAAAATTATTAAAGTTAATACAAATATTAAAATTTAGCAAGTTATTATCTAGCAACTATTAAAATTAGTATAATTAATATTAATAGGATAATTAAAATAATTAAAATATATATAATAAAATTGGATGGTCCATGTTAGCAATCCTCTCCTTTCAGCATAGGTATTTATCGATTTTATCCTCTTTTGTATTTTTTTCTTTTTTTTTTTGCTTTAAAAATATGAAAACATAATCATTGTTATGTCATCAATAAATCTGTCCACACTATTATCAAGATATTATATTATTAAAGAAAGAGAGATATTATTATATTATTAAATAGAGACAATTAAGAGAGAGAGAGAGAGAGAGAGTAAAAAAGAACTATTATATTACTAAAGAAAGGGAGAGAGATATATTATATTATTAAGGGTAAATTACAAAGACCCCCTGTACTTTGTTTTGCGACAAAGACCCCCTTGTACTATGACCGTGAGACAAAGACCCCCTTCCATTAGCCTTCCGCCCAAAAATGCTATTACAACATTTTTTAATCCCCATACTACCCTTCTAATAACTAGACAAGAAAAACATTGTTCATCTTCCCCGACCTTCCGATACTACCCTTCCGTTCCTTCACATTTCTCTCTCTCTCCCTCTCTCTCCCCTGATCTCTCTTCTTGCCCTTCTCCTCAACAACATCAGGATTGAACCCATTTAATTTAATCCTGACCTCTCTTTCCATTATTGCTTTCTTCAGATCCCCATCACTCTCTCTCTCTCTCCATTTGCAATGCGTATCTCACGGGAGGTCAAGGTTGTGAAGCTTAAGATAGAAGAAGTTGAGTACCTGCATAGAAGATTTATGGGCTCCATTGAGTTCTTTCCTCATGACATAGACCGAATCCTGAGGAACAAGCTGAGCTTGGGTACGTGGGTTGCTTACCCATGAGGCAAGTCATGGGATGAGTTGAGATCAGCTGGGCTTCTCCCTTCTAGCTGGGCCATGATCAGTGTATGGAATAGCGGAGGCATATTCTAGCTAAGGGTAGGCAAAGCACCTCTTTCTTGCCATATCCGTTCGAAGAGCTCGAGAATGATGGATCGAATCTTCCCCTGCTTGAGGATACTGGCCCTGCCAGATGTCTTCCACCCCCTTCGCTTCTATTTCATGTATGGCATGCGTGGAGAGGGTCGAAGGTCTGGCGAGTTGGTTCCTGCACTATGCCGGTTTGTACATAACATGGCTACTGAATGTAAGGATTGTAAAGTAATCGTAATGGAGGTAGGGGTTGCGACGCAGTGAGACTTGAAGAAATCCCACGTTAGAAATTATTATCCTGCCCTGAAGACTTGTGGTGCATAAAAGCATTGAGAAAGGAAGATCAACATACTGTAATGGGATGGACAAAAACCCCAACCACAACTACAAGAGGACTCTTCGTCAACCCTAGAGAAGTTTGATTTTTGATGATTATTGAATCCAAAGGGCAAAGTGGCCCTACAACTACTACAACCCAACCCCCACTCAGATGTAAAATCTGTGTGCTGCAGTCCATCTCCATCCCAAACCCTCCTTATGGGATGCCTTGCTCTTGTTCCTTTCAATTCCACGACATAGAATCTCAAGAGATCTCTCTCTCCATTACTGTGTACATGAAACGGGCTAGGCCAAAGCGTTATAGGTACACACAAAGATGGCTTGAGCATGCCGATAGGAAGGTAGCAGGAGACTATTCTGAGTCGTGTATCTAGGCCAAGGTAGAGGAGCTCGGCCTTGTTGCTGTTGGAGGAGAACCTCCTCAATAAGTGAAACCCATGGTGGTGGAATTGGAGAAATTAGTTTCAGCTAGGAGAGAGAAAGAATGAGAGAGGACGGTGAGGGAGGGGAAAAGAAGAGGAGAAAGGGAAAACAATAGGTTAAATAGGTTTTAAGAGAAAAAGGGCAAAAAAAAAAGAAAATAGAAAAAGTTTAGTAGGGTATTTTGGTAATTTATTGCATTCTGTCATCTTACATAACGATCAAGGGGGGTCTTTGTTTCATGGCCATAGTACAGGGGGGTCTTTGTCACAGACCCCATAGTACGGGGGGGTCTTTGTAATTTACCCAATAGAAATAATAAGAGAGAGTAAGAGAGAACTATTATATTATTAAAGAAAGAGAGAGATGGACATTAGAGTTTTCCAAATCTTCTCATCTCAATGCATATTACAATACATTTAATAAAGATATTTAAGAGAGAGAATACTAATATAACATAATACAATAAAGGTCTATTTGGCTCCCATGTGTGGATGCCTAGAATCTGAATTAGAACTACCAATTATTTGTTTCACAAGAATGAGAGAATAGGATTCTGATTCCCATTCTTGGGGGAATGGAATTCTCATTCGAGAGTCTATTGTTAAGGAGTAAAGAACTCATGACAAAAAATCCCCCAAATCCCAATATTAATAAAATAATAAAATATTAATAAACTATTAACAAGATATTAGTAAAACAGTGATAAAATAATAGTACTATAAAATAATAAATTATTAATAAAATATACAAAATTGATTTTTTTAGTTTACTCCGATTCTAACTCCAAATGAACCAAACAATAGCAATCGGAATCCGATTTCAATTCTCAACTAAACCAAATAGGCATTAGGAAGAGGTGATTTTGATTTTCCATGAACCAAAAGGACCCTAAAATTAGTTTATGTTTTATTAATTTGGAACTTAATAAATAAAATTAATAAAAATTTACTAAAGTTAATAAAAAAGATTAAAATTTAGAAAGATTTTATCTAGCAACTATTAACAATTAAGAAATTAATAAAAATTAGTATTAATAGATAGCCTAACCCAGCTAGACCTATAAATTTTTAGGCTCGAGCAAATATGGAATAATCATATTCGAAGTGTAATTGGGTATCGAACTTTTGAAGTCCAATGATGGTCCTAATGGATAAGGCCCAAGCTAAGCAATCCCTAATAAGCTCAACTTGGAAGTAATATACATATATGGTAAATATTATTATATATAATATTTAAAATATTTAAGTAATATTTACAAAAAATTAAAACATTTAATCAATAATAAAGTAAAATAAATAAAATAGAACACTAACAAATAATATAGAAAAAACAATTATTTTATTAAGTAATTAACAATAATTTATTATTTTTGTTAAAAATATTAATATAATTAATCTAAATTACTAAATTAGTAAAACATTTTTGTAACAAATTATTAAAATAAAGATTAATTTATTTTAAACAACATTGCATTCTTTCCTTAATTATAAGTTTTAGTTATTTCACTTTCCTTGATAAATTCCATACGGGTCCCCACTAGTTGAACTATAAAGTTTGCGTTGTTGATTGATATTTGTAAGATTCCTGCTACTTGAAATTACCTTACCTGTACGAAATAATTTGTAATACCGAATCACCGAACCTTACCTTTGAATGCAATTTTACAATGTTCAAAAACATGATCAATGATTTACAAACGGAATCCAGACAAATCAGGACCCTGGAGTCTGGAGCACCCATCTGTGGCAATGTGACACTAATCACTGCCGATCAATGTTGTCAGAATCAGATTGAACATGATGGTCAAATAGTTAACTCTCTAACTCCCAGTTTTTTACAGGCTTAACTACTGAGAAAAGTACTTGATTGACTAAGCATGTACTTGATTTGTCTAAAAAACCAAGAAAAGTATTTGATATGGATAACTAGGCATCAGCATAACAGTAAATAAATATTCAATCATTAAAATGACGATTGATGCACACATAAATCAGAACTTACTTTTGTGTACATTAAAAAAAATACCAATTTAGTGATGGCATATGACAGCATTTGATAAACTCCCACAACACAAAACACACGCTAAGATTTCTAATCTCATGTAAAATCCAGTTCCAACTGTTGGGAGAATTTCAGTATTACAGAATATTGGAACAAGGTTCTGTAGTTGTATGGATGGAGAGAAGGTTGTCATAGGAATAATGTCAACCCTATGTTTGAAACTCTGAGCGGTATTCTTTTTGAAGTAAGTTCCAGCTTGACTTAGAAATCTTCTCTATACAAGGAAATTAATTCAGTATAATCTTCAAAAGAATATTGGTCATGTCCCTTTTCTATTATACATGGGTTACTTAATATCCCCCCTCTTCTTATTTGGTACAACACAAGCAATGTAGAATAGCAAATCAGCAATTTCGCAAAAAAAAAAGATAAAAAAAGAAAAAGAAAATCTCAGACATCCTTTCACGCACCAACACATTTTGCCCAATGGAAAAACCGAGCAACTTTTCTTGGTAATGAATAATCTGTAGCAAGGGATGGATCATTCACCATATCTTCAGCACTTGACCATATGTACACGCCCCGTTCTTGTCTGGTGCCAGGAACTGTATTGTCCAGAATAAATGCCACCAAAAACGCTACCACCATGTTTAGTGACAGAAGAGCATTTATTGCGAAATCAAGCTGAAACCCATTAGTGAAGCAAACATAGCAGAAAGTCAGCTCTTCTATAATGCAATAGGTAAAAAAGGAACACTAAATAGTAACAATAACAAAGACTTTGATTTTAACATCCTAGTAGCTGATACCATAAAATCAACCAAGTGCCTACATCCAGTCAATCCAATGGATAAACAGTTTCTGTTACCTCCTTTGGACAGTAGGAAGTAAATGCCTACAAACAAAGCAGATGTTCACAATAGTAATTAGAAGCATCGAATTTGTTCTACAGGTGGCCCAGTGATTGGAATACTGGATGGGCATGTGGAAGATTGCACAGTAAGGTGTCTAATATTAAAACCTCCTTGAGTATTTACTCATGTATATATATAAATTCCGACATGTTCTAAGTATAAAATTTGTATTGTTCTAAGTATAAAATTTGTTCTACAGGTGGCCCAGTGATTGGAGAAGTACTGGATGGGCATGTGGAAGATTACACAGTAAGGTGTCTAATATTAAAACCTCCTTGAGTATTTGCTCATGTATATATATAAACCCGACATATTCTAAGTATAAAATTTGTATTGTTACTAATGGATAACATACAAGATTGTCTTGGCTCAGTGGCCACAAGTGTTGTAGTGTCAGTCTGGGGCCACTATGACTTGGCGTGTGTTCTATATTCAGAGGATCAAGAGCCACTGTCAATTTAGGCAAAAATAAGAATGAATAGATGACTCTCGACCACCTAATTTAGGCATTATTTTGTGAGTTTTAACAGCCATTATCATGTTTCAAACTGATATTGAGCTCGATGAGTTTCAATGGCAGGATCGATAGAATAGCACAGTTCCAAATCTTCTGAATGTGAGACACATGGCTAGTCATGGACCCCAGACAGCTCCAAGGGTCATGTCAGATCCAAACTTCCACGTATATGCACATTTTTATGTGTGTGAGTGTCTGTGAATAGATGTAGAGAATCTTGTTCTTACATCTTTGCTGCCAGTGTGGACTGGTCCGTTTGATGCTGCTGCATAAGGAATAAAGTAACTTGGCAAGATGAAGCTGGAATCAGGCTGATACTGTTGAAAATATGCAGGTATCGACAAAGAGAAGAACAAGGAAACACCAACTATTGTTATATTTCTAAAACTTGCTGTTTGACCATACTGCAAAGTTGATAGACCAAGTGCTACAATCAGAGCCCAGATGAAACACAATACAGAAACGGCCAAGGCTTGGGGTATTGAAGCAAGAAGGGCGCCCACTTTTCCTACCAAATGAAATCAAGAAAATCAGTATGCAAAAGTATCCACTAGGGTAATAAATGTTGATGTGTCCGGAAAAACACAAATATACACACTGCACAGACACACAAACTGCATGTGTATGAAAAGCAGCATATTGAATATTACCCATAAAGGAGAAAAGAATTAACATTACTGCTCCAAGTTCCACAGCCCTTCGGTTTGCTACTTTTGTTATGTCAATGGTATGTGCATTTTCAGTCAAGGTTGTTGACCCAGAACCTGTACCCCATAATCCAGCTAGTATACTACAGAAACCTTCCATTCCAATTCCTCTGCTAACAACTCCTGGTGTTGGGGGCCTTGAATTAACTAGCAAAGATGCAGAATGATATGTTCCAACCTGGGTGAGTTGCACAAAGTGCAGAGTGATTAGACTTAAGCAGCCAATATTTGGAATTCTTCTCCTGTTAATAAACAGCTATTACTTTATGCATTAAAACAAGAAACTATTTACCGAATCCACTGATGCAACCAATGACACAATGATCATAATAATGGAAGTCTTCAAGTGGAATGTAGGGATACCCCACTGGAAAGGGTAGGGTACTCTAACCCAATCAGCAGTTCTCCATGCATTGGAAGCATCTGTTCGACAATGCTTCATGGTAAATGCATGTTTTCTGCATGCATCAGATAGGATATTTGAACTGGGTATGTTAGGATTGCAGCCTCTGTAGTCATATGCTCCACCAGCTGTCAAAAAGAATGCATATGCCCATACGATTGTTACACTAAGGGGAACCTGCAATGGTTAATTGTGTCAATAAGATCATAAACTAGTGATGCAAATACAGTGAGACTTGAAAGTATTGCGCATTTTACGATATCCTGATCTGATCAGACTTTAAGACATAATAAGCTCAAATAGATGAACAGAGTGATTCACGCAAAGGAGGCTTCCCTTCTTTTGGGTTTTGTTTCTTCTCTTTTTGGGACAGGGGAGGGGATGATGCAATCTTCCAATATGTATATAACTAATATTTGAGGTTGTTGAATATTGTTATCAATATCAGAAGTCATTAAGAAAATGAGGAAATTTATATGTTCATCTAATCCCATATCTGAATGAATTGACAATTAGGATTTTTTTTATCAGTAAAAAGAATAAGCTTTTATTGATTGAGAAAACAGAATTTACAGCAATGAGTAGCCTCGGCTTCCCAATCAACAGACAAAGAAGTAAACAGTAATAGCCCCAGGAATTTGATTATACATTTACAATTGAGCCCAGAAAAACGTGTTCTCTTCTAACCCCTTATTTTGCTAGTTGATCTGCTAGACTGTTTGCCGACCTTGGAACCCATTGTGCTAAGATTTGCATATCTTTTGACAGTCTTATGAATTTTTTAATCTCATTTCTGAACCACCAAGGACTCTTTTCCTCTTATCTCAACCAACTCAGAATCACTTTTGAGTTCCCTTCGATTATCAGTTTATGAATGCCGAACTCCACGGCTTTTTGTAAGCCATACAAAACTGCTTCCATCTCAGCTCTAGCGGAGTTCCCTTCCCCAATTGGCCCTGAGAACATCCCCAAAATTTCTTCCCTGATGTTTTTTATGGCTCCTCCTATTCCAGAGGGGCCTGGATTACCAAAACTGCTACCATCAACATTCAACTTAAGGAAGTCAACTGATGGTGGCGTCCACTGTTGCATGATTTTTTTCTTGGAAGAAGAGGAACCTGCAATCACCTCCCAGTTTCTGAGTATATCATCAACAGTAAAATCAGAGAACATATGCACTGTTTTTATCCAATGCACTACTTTCACCAACATGCCTTCATACACAACTACAGATCTGCTCTTTTCTTTGAAAATTCGTAGTTTTCTTTCTTCCCATATCGTCCATAATACTGCAGCTCTTGTACATCTCCAAAGCATCCTCCACCTAAATTGACAATTAGGATTTGCCTCATGATGTAATTAATAATTATAGTTTCTATCATCATGCATAACCATATACTTCTATGAGGGCTTAGAATTTAATCTCTAACATTTCCTCACCTATGGAGTTCCGTGAAATAGATAAGTTCCAATGGATTTGATGACCTACCAATATGGCCTAGCATTGCTCTTGTTTTCTTAGTGTTATGATTCGGCCTGCCTTGGAGTTCTGTTTGTCTGGGATCAGTCACATAGAGAGAGGTAGAAAGGTGGAAGAAAGAGAGAGAGAGAGAAAAGAAGAAAATCTGGTTCGAACTGGAAGTCAAAGAACATAACTCCCATTCGGCCAGACATGTGCTTTTATTATTAAAATTAA